TCTTCTTCTTCTCTTCTTCACTCTCAATCCCTAGCCTTCACTCTCTTAAAATGGAACAAAATGATCCAAATATAATCCTGACACAACAATATATCCTCAAAAGAATTAGCTAGGGAAAAGACCAAAATGCCCTTAATGATTCCCGGACGGATTTCCTTGTCAACTGCCCAACTTTCAAAGGGCATATCTCACTAATACGAACTCGGAATCGAGTAAACTCGGCGGCGTTGGAAAGATCATTCCACAAGCTTCACAACCATAAGTGGAACTATTCCTAACTCATTCTGAGCTAGAAGTTATGACTGCTCAAAGTTGGCCAAAAATCACTGATTTCCATACTTAGCCAAATTTTCCAGATTTTCAAATCCTTTCCAAAAATTGAAAGTTTTCAAATTCTAAGCCTCTTCTTAGCTATTTCAAATTGACGGATGTTACAGTCACATACCAATTCGTTTATTTTTCCACATAAGAGGCGTCTGGATGTACGCACTTAAAATGCGATTTTGAAAATATAAAAAGTGTCAAAATGACACAATGAGATTTGACATGAGGTGCTTAAAATGAACAAAGCCTAGTTAAAGTGTCCAAGTAAATGTTGGTGCCAAGTTTAGGAGGCCACCGATGGATTAGGCCAAAAATATATTTATAATTACAAAGAATTATTAATGGGATCATATATTTATAAAAGGGTTTTTGAAGTTATATTATCTTATGGAAATCAGTGACTCTTTTTCACTAGCCCCAGTTGGGACCGGAAAACAAAAAATATTATTATAGAAAATTTATCAATTTATCAAATATTAATGATGAAAATGGATCTTTTCTATCATCCTTTTTTCTTGTAATGTAAAAACGTTAAGAAATATTACACACCGTGAAAGTGTTAGCAATAACACTATGGGTTCTCTTGTTTTTTATTTTGAAAAATACCAAGTTTGTTGTTTGTGTAGGGATTTGTAGAGAAAATGAGCAACGAGCGTTGGAGAGCTTGAAGAAAGAAGTAGATGATCCCTTGGATATTCCCTCTTCTTGGGTTGTTGGAAAAGATTGTTGTGAATGGGAAGGAGTTGTGTGCAACAATCTAACTCGTCGTGTAATTGAACTACACATAAGTTATCTAAGGATCGATAACCTAGAGTGGTTGCCAACTCTTTTGAGTCTTGAGAATTAACCTGGAAATGTATCATCTGGATCTCTGCGAAGCAACCAACTGGCTACAGGTTATTAACATGCTTCCTTCTTTGGTTGATCTAAGTTTATCGAATTGTAGTCTTAATAATATAACAACTCTACTTCATCACAATTTTTCTTCACTTGAAACCCTCGATCTTTCTAGTACTAAGTTTAATTCACCTATTCCCAATTGGGTTTTCAACCTTGCCAATCTTGTTTCTCTTAATTTGAGTGATTGTAATTTTACTGGCCCATTTCCCCAGTTAACTTGACTTCTCTCACAATCTTCTAGGCTTTTGAAAACTCTTTCAATTGTCTTTTACCCGAATGGTTGTTTGATTTAAGTAATCTAGAACATCTTAACCTCCGTTCTAGTGGTATTAAAGGTGCAATACCAAATAAGAGTGGAAACATAACAACACTTAAATATCTCGATCTTTCTGATAATAACCTTAACTCCACCATACCAAATTGGCTCAATCGATGCAAAGATCTAGAATCACTTTACCTAAGTGAAAACCGTCTTGAGGGAGCAGTTTCAAGTCTCATTTCAAATTTGAGCTCAATAACTAATATTGACATTTCTGGTAATATGCTTACTGGAAAGTTACCAAATGTAATTGGAGTTTTAGGGAAATTAGAATAAGTTGGAAGGTGTTGTAACAGAAATTCATTTCTCTAAATTAACACAATTACAACTCTTCTCTGCATCTAGAAATAATCTGACTTTAAAAGTGAGTCAGAATTGGATTCCACCTTTTCAAGCCACAAACATTGTGATAGGCGGGTGGAATATAGGCCCTTTGTTTCCAATGTGGCTCTGAACTCAGGAGATGATAATGAATGTTGACATATCAGATGGTGGAATACAAGGTGAGGTTCCAACTTGGTTTTGGAACTTATCTTCTCAAATTGGTTTTCTCAATCTTTCTCACAATCAATTTATTGGTGAGGTTCCAATCATCTCAAT